GTTTAGCAGCCCCCACTTCACCTGTTTAGCCCCCTTCCTAAGGCAACTCCATTCATTCATTCATTCATTCATCAGAATGAATTCATTTAGTTCCTATTGTTGGTGATTACAGCTTATCTTGATTTTTTCTTTTCTTTTCTTTTCTTTTTGAGACAGAGTCTATTGTGTAGCTCTGGCTATCCTGGAACTCACAGAGACCATCCTGCCCGAACCTGCATGAACCGCCACAGCAGACAAGTTTGTCTTTTTGAAATTGTTTTATTATGTGTATGAATGTTTTGCCTATATGTGTGTATGTATGAGCACCATGTGCCTGCCTGGTGCTCACAGAGGTCAGAAGCGAGGGCAGCAGGTACCCTGGAACTGATGGGTGCTGGGAAGGTGGCTCAGTTGTAAAAAAATAAATAAAAATAAAAAAGCATGCATACAGACACGACCTGGTGGTGTATGCCTTTAATACCAGCACTCAGGAGGCAGAGGCAGGAGCGTTTCTGAGTTCCAGGATGGACTGGTCTGCAGAATGAGTTCCAAGACAGCTAGAACGACACAGAGAAACCCTGTCTCAAGAAACCAAAAACAGAGTTTGATCCTGAGCACCCACATAAGAGGCAGGAAATGCTGATACACACTTCTAATCTGAGCTTGGGAGAAGAGAAGACAAGTGGAGCTCCTAGCTTGTTGGCCACTCAGCTTGACCTAATCAAGAGCCCCAGGTCCCAGTGAGAGAGATTTCCTATCTCAAAAAAAAATCCACAGAATGCAATGGTTCACACCTTTAATCCCAGCACTAAGTGGACAGAGGCAGGCAGATCTCCATAAATTCATGGCTAGCCTGGTTTACATAGTGAGCTCCTTATCAGCCAAGGATGTGTATTAAGATCCTATCTCAAGCAAACAAACTAATGAAAAACAAACAAAAGAATGTAACAAAACCGCAGAAAGCAAGGTGGGGGCTGGAGAGGGCTCAGTGGTTAAAAGTGTACACTGTTCTTGCAGAAGACCTGAGTTAGGTTCCTACCACCCACACTTGATGGCTCACAAATGCCTGTAACTTCAGGTTCGGGGGATCCAATGCTTTCTTCTGGTTTCTGCAGGCACCCACACCCACATGGATACACTCACATAAAGATACAATACGGCGTTGGTGGCACACACCTTTAATCCCGGCACTCGGAAGGCAGAGGCAGGCGGATTTTGTGAGTTCGAGGCCAGCCTCGAACCCTGGCTCAAAAGAAAAAAAAAAAAGAGGCTGGAGAGATGGCTCAGCTGTTAAGAGCACTGGCTGTTCCTCCACAGGACCAGTATTGGATTCCCTGCACCCGTATGGCAGCTCACAACCGTCTGTTACTCCAGAGCGAGTTCCAGGACAAGCTCCAAAGCTACACAGGGAAATCCTGTCTTGAAACAAAACAACAAGAAAAAAAAAAAAAAAGACCTAAGCATCTAGGTGAACACTTGCATCCCAGTAACACATGGTTTGTTTGGAAATCTCATGACAAAAAAAAAAAAAAAGTAATCCAACATCCCTTTAATCCCAGCACTAGGGAAGCAGAGGCAGGTGGATCTCTGTGAATTCAAGGCCAGCCCAGTCTGCAGAGTGAGTCCAGGACAGGTTCCAAAGCCACAGAGAAACCCTGTCTTGAAAAAAAAAAATAAGAAATCGTATGAAACAGTATCTTCGATCTGGTGACCAGTGTGTCTCCATTCTCAGAGAGCACTGTCTATGAGAAGTGTCCATGATGCTAAGAATCCTGGGAAGACTGTTGGGTGACAGGTGGACACATAAATAGGATACCCCATGCCGGGCGTTGGTGGCGCACGCCTTTAATCCCAGCACTCGGGAGGCAGAGGCAGGCGGATCTCTGTGAGTTCGAGGCCGGGCTGGACCGATAGCCTCCAAAACAATACAGAGAAACCCTGTCTCGTAAAAACCAAAAAAAAAAAAAAAAAAAAAAAAACAAACAGGCTACCCCATCCATCCTTATGGTTGGCCTCCTTGTGATCCAGATGCGCAGTCACATATGATGTTCCCTCCTTGGTCCTCCTGCTCTTAGTTTGGCATCAAATCATGGGGGAAGTAGCTCTATGGCACACACTTGAAGGACACTCCTTCAACCCCTACATTGGACTCTTGACAACACCAATGCATGCCACTGTAACAGGTCCCCAGACCTTAGTCGGCCCCCAGATCTTTTATACAACTGATTCCAGGTTGGAAGTGCCATTCATGCTGTGAGACTCAGCATTGTTTACAGCACCACCTGCCGAAAATGAAAACAAAGACCCTAATCCATCAAAGCCCGTACTTCTGGGAAAGCCTCTAAGTGTACTAACCTTGTTTTTGGCTTCCGTAACTCCAACTCTGGCTAACTGTTCTTGATAACTGAAGTGTGTCAACCCACCCAGAACACGGTTTGTGTGCTTAAAATCTCACCCTGAGAAAAGGATCAGGGCTATACTGGTATCCTGAACACCCAGCGTAGTTGCTGTCCAGCTAATAAAGATGTTCTATTGGCTTAGAGCCATGTCTGAGCAGTATCCTCTGGTGAACACCTCACAACAGACACAAAGCACAAAATAAGGGAGTGTCCCACCCACTCCAGGATAAAACACAATGAACCACTACAGTCATGTGCAATGCCTAATTCCTGATCGGACCTGGGCAGACATGCTTAAAGAGCCACACAGTGTGTCTTGAGAACGAGTAGGGAACTTGAGCACCAATGTGTTTCAAGTGACTGTCCTGAACCATTTAGATTTGTATTTTATATGTATGGGTGTTTTGCCTACAGTAATATCCGTGTATCGAGTGCATGCCTGGCACCAGCAGAGGCTAATCCCTAGGACTGAATTTACCAAAAGTTGTGAGCAGCCATGAGGGTTCTGGGAATCAAACCCAGGTCCTCTGGAAGAGCAGCCAGTGCTCCTAACCCCTGAGCCATCTCTCCAGTCCTGCAAGTGGTGTTCTTAGCTGTTGAGATATCTTTCCACCCCTCTGTCCAGAAATTTTTGAGTGGGCTCTCTAGGGGCATAGCTCAGGGGATGCCTGCTTGCATATTAGAAGAATTAATTGACTATGAAAGCGAGCCACCAAGTGTTAACAATTCTTCTGCAGACTGTTGAGTTCAGTGGGAAAACATTTGCCTGGTATCACCGAGGACCAGCCTTCTGCCTTCAGCTGCAAAAACAAACAAACAGACTCAATCTTGATTCTAGATGAAAGGTACACAGATTCTGGTTGCTATTTTTTCGACTCTTCTGTAGATCGGATGTTCTCCACTTGTAAGTGGTAAAGATATCTACAAAGATCTCTCAGCAGATATTACCATGATCGACTCTAAACTAAAAAGGCTGGGTTTTCCTTCTCTTTTCCTCTGCTGATGGGACTTGAACAGGCACCGCTTCTATAGTTGTAAATCTAAATTTAAAAAGAGAGAGCAGTTAAGAGCAAGCACTGACTGCTCTTCCAGAGGACCTGAATCTGGGTCCTAGCACCCACCTGGCAGCTTACAACCCTGATCCAAATAGATACAGGCAGGCAAAAAAACAAAACAAAACAAAAACAAACAAAAAACCTCATAGACATAAAACAAAAATAAAATAAATCTTTGCCAGGTGTGTGGTACATACATCCCTTTATTCCCAGCACCTCAGAGGCACACCAGATCTCTGTAGGTTCAAGCAAGGCCAGCCTGGTCTACATAGTAAGTTACAGGACAGCCAGAAGCTACCTAGAGACCCTGCCTCAAAGAAATCAAGAAGTAGAAGAGGAAGCAGAAGAATAGAAGTTGTTCAACGTCTAGCTTCAGAGACGACTCGGGGCTTAAGAACACCTGTTCCTCTTGCAGGTAATATCTGGGTTCCGTTCCCAGCGCGCAGATGGTAGGTGGTTTGCGAACAACTCCAGCTCCAGGGGAATCCAATGCCTTTTTCTTACTTCCTCAGGCACTACTCATGCACATGATGCACATGCGTACATGTAGGCAAGACACTTGAATACATAAAACAATACCAGAAAGAGAAGTTCTAGTGCTGGAGACACAGCTCATCGGTTTGCTGAGGGCATTTGCTGTCTTTGCAGAGGACGTAGGCCCAGGTCCCAGTACCCACAAAGTGGCTTATAACCATCCATAAACTCACAAAAGGTGCACATACATACGTACATACAGGCAAAACACTCAGACACACATAAAATAAAACAAAACAAAATAAAATAAAATAAAATGGGGCTGGAGAGACGGCTCAGCGATGAAGAGCACCGGCTGCTCTTCCAGAGGACCCAGGTTCAATTCCCAGCAACCACATGGCGGCTCACAACTGTCCGTAACTCCAGCTCCAGGGGGTGCGGCACCCTTATACAGACATACATACATGCAGGCAAGAACACCGATGCACTTGGAAATAAATAAATTATCAAAAAATAAAGATATGCCGGGCGGTGGTGGCGCACACCACCTTTAGTCCCAGCACTTGGGAGGCAGAGGAGGCAGGCAGATCTCTGTGAGTTCGAGGCCAGCCTGGTCAGCCTCCAAAGCTACACAGAGAGACCGTGTCTTGAAAGACTGAAAGTAAATAAACAAATAAATAAATGATAAAATAAAATAAGTAAGTTTGTAAATAATAAAATAAAATAAGTAAGTTTGATTTTTAAAAAAATAATTTAAAAAAAGTTCAAGGTCATTCTCAGCTATTCAGTGAGTTTGAGGTTAGTCTGGGCTGCATGAGACACTGTCTCCAAAAATGGATAAATAAATAAATAAACAATAAGCAATAAAGCAGAGTTGGTGTGGTATTTCTTCTTTGGGGCCCTTCCTACTCTCAGGACTTCTTTCTCACTTTTTTCTTAATAAATCTATTTTTGGACTGCTTTAAAAAAAAAAAAAAAGAAGGAGAAAGAAAGGAGAGTTGAGTCAGGCCAGGTGACACGGGACTATAAGACAGCCGGGAAAGATTTCCTCCTATGCCTCCTAGAGCCTCCTGCTGTTTCTCCACCTATCTGTGCCCTTCCCTAGCATACTAGACCCAGAGGTCAGCTTGATGCCTCAGCTGTGATCCCCAGCAGGAGAAAGCCCCTGCTCTCTGGTCTCCTCCGTCCAGCCCCGCCCCCCCCACATTACTGACCCGGGACTGACGGAGGCAGGAGGTGGGTGTCTGGCATCTGTAGTAGAATCTTTGTGGGATGCAGGGGTCAGATGTCCCTCCAGCCTGGGAACCAGCGTGCAGGCTGCTATTCCGGGGCTCTGATCAGGCTGTTTATTTATAGCCCCGGTGGTGGGGGGGAGGGCTCCCGACACAGGCAGCGGAGAGGCTGCTCTGCTGCAATGCCACTGCTAACACTGCAGACTGCCAGCACCTGCGGTTGCGGCAGAAGACAGAGGTCTCTCAGCCGGCCAGACCCCGGGGCAGCAGGGCACTGTGTGAGGCTGGGAGGTGGAGACCCTGATGGGCAGCACCATGGATCCCCCAGGGGGTGCCTACCTGCACCTAGGCGCTGTGACCTCTCCCGTAGGTACGGCACGAGTGTTGCAGCTGGCCTTCGGCTGTACCACCTTCAGCCTGGTTGCTCACCGAGGAGGTTTTGGGGGTGTCCAGGGCACTTTCTGCATGGCTGCTTGGGGCTTCTGTTTTGCCCTCTCGGTCCTGGTGGTAGCCTGCGAGTTCACGAGGCTCCACGGCTGCCTGCGCCTTTCTTGGGGCAACTTCACCGCAGCCTTTGCCATGTTGGCAACCCTGCTGTGTGCCACCGCCGCCGTCATCTACCCTCTGTACTTCACCCGGCTGGAGTGCCCACCGGAGCCTGCCGGATGCATGGCCAGAAACTTCCGCCTGGCAGCCAGCGTCTTCGCGGGACTCCTCTTCCTGGCCTACGCGGCCGAAGTGGCCCTGACTCGGGCACGGCCAGGTCAGGTCGCCAGCTACATGGCTACGGTGTCTGGGCTCCTCAAGATCGTCCAAGCCTTTGTGGCCTGTATCATCTTTGGGGCCCTTGTCCATGACAGCCGCTACGGGCGCTACATGGCCACACAGTGGTGCGTGGCCGTCTACAGCCTGTGCTTCATGGCCACGGTGGCTGTGGTGGCCCTGAGTGTGATGGGACACACGGGGGGCCTGGGATGCCCATTTGACCGCCTCGTGGTGGTGTACACCTTCCTGGCTGTGCTCCTGTACCTCAGCGCTGCAGTCATCTGGCCGGTCTTCTGCTTTGATCCCAAGTACGGAGAGCCAGGACGGCCCCCTGACTGCCTCCGAGGCAGCTGTCCCTGGGACAGCCAGCTGGTGGTAGCTATTTTCACCTACGTCAACCTGCTCCTCTACATCGTCGACCTCGCCTACTCCCAGAGGATCCGTTTCGTGCCTACCTTGTAGCCTGACCCGCCGGTGGTCTCCTCTCTCTGGCTGAGAGCACCTAAGACTGACCAAGGTGAATCAAGACGTAGGGAATCAAGAGGGAGGTCGGGGGCTCAGGGAGGTCCGCTCTTGGATATCTGGCAGCACTAGGAGAGGGGGCAGGAGCGGAGAAGAGGGCGGCTTATGGGGGCCTCTCCTCCTTCCTGTCTCTGTCTCCGTCTCTTTTTTTTTTTTTTTTTTCCAGACAGGGTTTCTCTGTATTGTTTTTGGAGACTGTCCTGGAACTCGCTCTGTAGACCAGGCTAGCCTCGAACTCACAGAGATCCGCCTGCCTCTGCCTCCCTGGTGCTGGGATTAAAGGCGTGTGCCACCAACGCCCGGCTTGTCTCCGTCTCTGTTTTGGTCCCTGTTTCTCAGTTTCCTGGCCGTCCATGGGCTCGGTGCTCGTCACTGTACCGAACGGAAACTTTCTGGAGCGCGATGCTAGCTACCGTAATTCGTTTTGCAGATGGGAACAGTGAAGCCAACAGAGGTGGGCCGGGGTCAGTGTCTTGAGACAGCGTTTAGCTGGGGTAGTGTCAGAAATTAGGCATTCCCCCCGGGGTTGAAATGGGTGAAAAACAATCCAAAAACACCAGGGTCAGGCCGTTGGGAGGAATGCTGCGGCTGGACCCTCCTGCCTGTCTGAAGGGGACATTTCTAGAACCCTGGGAGGAGTCTCTCGGGATGGCCGTGATGGTTTGTAGAGAAACCTGGCAGCTGGAACGGGCCTCGTCTGTGTCCAGGAGTATCCCAGCGGCCTCGCCTTTTGGAACAGAGAAATGACTACTGTGCTGTGTTCTCAGGTGGCCTGATGTCAAAGGTCAACACCAGAATCACTGTGAAAACAGGGTGGTCTCATGACAGTGATGGCGCGTCTGCCCAGACACACGGCACAAACTGTGACACAGACACTCCTGGAGAGTCTCTCACGGGTTCAGGCAGGCTGGCTTGGTTGGCAGCATTGGCTCACCGTGAAGAACCATCTTGGGGCAGCCGATGGGTCACGGAGCCTGGTTACCGGGCTTCCACTCAAGCGTTTTGTTAGCCTGTTGCTCCTGAACACCAGGACTTGCTGGCATCATCGCCCAGCTTCTCTTCTGCAAGAGCCCAGACTGGACTGACCCTGGGAAGCCCTTCAGCCCATTAGCTGACTGTCCCCCAGGTCCTCCAGCAGGAAATAAAAGGTGAATTCTCATTTACACCTGGCCTGCTATCTTTGATGAATACCCAGACAAACCCGCTTGAATCATCTCTGTTTAGGAGCTGTGGTAGACTGCACCACTTAAGCTACCTTCTCTCGTCATGCCCCGAGAACAGGTCTACACCGGGTCATTGTGAGGGAGGATGTGGCCTTAGGGGATACCCTGGATCCTGGGATAAAGTCCAGGCTTGGGCTTGTCTAGGCCTTCTGAAAAAGGGGCAGGTCGGGGTTTCTCAGAAGGCCAAGTGCAAAGAAGAAGATAGGTCAAAGTTGGCTCATTCTCTTTGTTCTTAGAGGCAGCCAAAGCCTCAGACGGAGGTCTTCAGTGCCCAGGTCCCAGGGAAAGGGGCTGCTCCACTCTCTGGTATGTGGAACCAAGAGCATTTAGACTCTGGGCTGTGAGTCAGGGCCCTGTGTGGGTACTGTGTGGCCCTTGCTGGCTAGCTGGAGAAGGAACGCTTGGGTCAGCCAAAAAACTGAGTTGGGGCCTATGTCTTTCACTTGAATGGGTAGGCACAGGCAGCTTCTGGGTCTGCAGGTGCCCTGAACAATGGAAGCTTTGGGCATCAGAAGGGAGCGAAGAGAAAAAGGGATGTGTCAGTCACGCACATCCTGTCTGCTTCTTTTTCTTTCTTTCTTTCTTTCTTTCTTTCTTTCTTTCTTTCTTTTTTTAAAATGGTTTTTCGAGACAGGGTTTCTCTGTGTAGCTCTGTAGACCAGGCTGGCCTTGAACTCACAGAGATCTGCCTGCCTCTGCCTCCCGAGTGCTGGGATGAAAGGCGTGGGCTGCCACTCCCCGGCTCTTTTCCTCTTCCATGTATCCGTATCATACGTGAACGGTGTATGTGAGGTGGGGGACACCACAGTGCGTGCGTGGCAGCGAGAAGAAAGCTTGGTGGACTTAGTTCTTCTGCTTTACATCTGCTCAGGAGAGACAACTCAGGCAGTCCAGTTGTTAGGCTTTCGAAGCATGCTCTTTCCGCTGAGCCGTAACAACTGCCTCTCTTTTGTGGTTTTTTTTCTCCCCCCACCCCTTAAGACAGGGTTTCACAATGTAGTCCAAGCTGGTCTCCCATTGGACATCCTCTTGCCTCAGTTTCCCTGGTGCTGGGATTACAGGTATGTGATGCCTCATCAAGTCTGGCTGTGTTTTGGGGGTTGGGGGAGTCCCCTTTCATTTTTTTAAAATTGCATTTGAATTTAGTAAAAATTTCCCCCCCCTTTTTCTTTCTTTTTTTTTTTTTAGAAGACAGGGTTTCTCTGTATTGTTTTTGAGGCTGTCGGTCCAGCCCGGCCTCGAACTCACAGAGATCCGCCTGCCTCTGCCTCCCGAGTGCTGGGATTAAAGGCGTGCGCCACCACCGCTCGGCCTTTCCCCTTTTTTAAAAAAAAAGATTCATTTATTGTGTATAGTGCTCTGCCTGCATGTCTGCCTGCAGGCCAGAGGAGGACACCAGATCTCATTATGGATGGCTGTGAGCCACCATATGGTTGCTGGGAATTGAACTCAGGACCTTTGGAAGAGAAGCCAGTGCTCTTAGCCTCTGAGCCATTTATCCAGCCCGCCCCCCCCCCCACTTTCATTTTTTCACTAGCTAAAATTCTGAAACATGACATCTATCTCTAAGTCCCCAGTGTTCCTGTTGTTGAGTGGCCTTCTGCTCCAGGTGTCATATCCAACCTAAATTTCATGTGTCCTGGGGGAAGGCAGAGGAGAGGAGGGCTAAGACTCAAGAGAAAAAGGGGAGAAAGGCTTCTGGGGCTCTCTAGACTCCAGGAGTGGCTTTCGTTGGTTTTTGGGGTATTGCTTATTATCATTTAGAGGAAAGCATCCCTTTAAAATTGTTTTTAGTTCATTTTATGTGTATAACTGTTTCTGCACCTATGTATGTACACCCCTGCACACCTGGTGACCTCAGGAAGCCTCAGATCACCTAGAAAAGGAGTTCTGGATAGTGTAGGTTGCTGTATGGACACTGGGAACAGAATCCAGGTCCTCCGGAAGAGCAACAGATGCTCTTAGGTGCTGAGCCATCTCTCCAGCCCTGGAAAGTATCTGATGTAGGGAGCTGAGTTCGGAGAACTGAACTCCTAGGCTTTGTGCATAGGCTTGAGCTATCAACTTGGCACAGGTGTTCCAGCCTTTTTCTTAAAGGGTGAGTAACCAAACTGACCATCCAGACAATACCGTGCAGTAGTCTCATAGTTTGGGTGGTAGTCATTATGGTCAAGGAGAAGGGACAGAAATCCAAACCTTGCAGGCTAGAAGCTTCCTAATGATTTTGAAATTGGTTTCTAAAGCAGCTTGCCTTTGTCTAAGGCAACAAACACAAAAGGAAAAAAATATAAGCAAGCAACCTCTGAGGCTGGTGGGGGATGGGCGTACTTTGGTGGAGTCTGGAGGACCCCAGACTGCTCTGCAGCTCTTAGACCATCAGATAGATCCTGAGAACCTATGGGCGTCGCAGGTGCCCAGAGCAAATTATCTCCATAACCCGTGGTTAGGAAGCTGGGGCACTGTAGGATGGAGGAGTTTCGGGAAGTAATAGGCCTGTGGCTGCAGAAGGTACCTAGCTTTCAAAGGAACACTTTGCAATGAGACCACAGATAGAGGAAGGGATCGGTGGCTTTTGGGGTACTGATCTGTATTCGTAACTACCACCCACTTCGGGGAAGGAGCAGGGAGGCGTGTCTGTCCTAGTCCTGTGGATGATGCAATGCACAAGGCTCCGGTTGCAGCTCTGGATTGGCTAGTTCCCAGAGGCCGCACCGCGCACTGGCTGAAGTGGAGTGGGGGCGGGGCCGGTGGGCGTGGGTGCCGCGTGGCAGATGCAGAGGGCCGGACCGTCGCGCGTGTAGCTGCTGCATACAGGTAGCTCTAGCGGGACACCGTGCACCGGGGTTGGGATTCCTGAAATGAAGACTTAGGGATGGGGCTTCTGGGACCCAAGCTGGAGGCGGAGTGGGGATTTGGATGTTGAGGGTACTCAGGATTCCGGGCTCTTCCCTACAGTCGATCGCTTCCCTTGTGTCTCCCGGAGCTCTTTTCGGAGGGCCCAGGACCTTCAGCTGCAGGTCAGGCAACCTTGCTCTGGCAGCAGGTGATTGTGGTACAGGGTGTGGGGAAACCGGGACAACTTACCAGCCCGGCCAGCCGAGGAGCTACCTAGATATTAGGCAGGCTGGTACTGGAGTGGGGGAGCACCTGGCTGCCAGGAGCGGCCAAACCTGGTACTGCCCACCCAACTTCTTGCTTTCCATCCTGTCGGTCCAGTTTGCAGCTGCCCTGCAAAGCCGGCGCTATCTGTGAAGGCTGTGGGTCCTGGATCTCCGGACATGAGCGTGGGTTTCATCGGGGCCGGGCAGCTGGCTTTTGCCCTAGCCAAGGGCTTCACAGCAGCAGGTAGATTCCTCTGGGGCCAGGGAGGGTGCTAACGCGGAGTGTCTGGGTTAGTGGCCTCGGTCCTTTGAGAAATGGAAGTCACCATATGTTTGGGACTGCTGTCCTAAAGGGGTAGGGAGTGTTTCCCCTCTGTCTCCTTCCTGGCAACGTGGGGGCAGACAGACTGGAACTAGCTTTGAGGGAGGAATTCTGTTTCCCGCAGGTGTTCTGTCTGCTCACAAGATAATGGCCAGCTCCCCAGACATGGACCAAGCCACGGTCTCTGCCCTCCGGGTAGGTGCCACGTTAAAGCAGATAGGAAGTCTGACTCTCTTTAGAGTTGGAGTCTAGGGTTAGGTGTGCAATAAATACACCTGACTGAGGGCCAGGATGGGAGCGGCTGTACTGCAGCCCCCCTACTCCAGTGGGAAAAGCAAACCTGCCGTAAGGAAATCTTCAGATGCTGCCTTCCTGCCCTGTCATGAACACAGCTGGTAGTTGAGGGTGTTAGTCTGGGGAATGGGATTACCTAGGTGGAGGCCAAAGGAGCTCTCCGGAAGGCCGGGGCAGCATTGGGAACCAGACAATGGACCGGGGGTGGTGAGTACAGTTTCTGTTTGCTACGGCTCATTCGGGATTTCAGGCCGAAGATGTGGGGGTCAGGCTCCCAGCTTGAGACCACCATCCGCCTCCGGAAGGCAGGCGGCCGCAGGGACTGCGACCACTAGACCACTCAGGTAGAATGTGTTTAGAAGGCTGCCGCGTCCTTTTCTACTTTAAAGGGGGGGCACATTCCAGGGCATAGTGGTTTTTCCATTTCTAGGTGAGGACAGCTGACTGGGTTTTGACCCCCAACCCAGCTTTCACCACACCCCAGCAGCCTGTGGGCTTCTCTCCACACAAGGCTCTCCCTCAGCTTTGAGGGCAGACAGCCCACGAGGCAAGCTGAGTCCCCTTGCGCTCCTGCAGAGGATAGGGGTGAACCTGACACCCCACAACAAAGAGACAGTGCGCCACAGTGACGTGCTCTTCCTGGCCGTGAAGCCGCACATTATCCCCTTCATCCTGGATGAAATCGGTGCTAACATTGAGGACAGGCACATTGTGGTGTCCTGTGCGGCAGGTGTCACCATCAACTCCATTGAAAAGGTGGGTGCCGTGGGCCGGGTCAGTAGGGGCTTCGGGGAGGGGGGGGTGGGGGAACATATGGTCAGGAGCCCTGCTCTGGGCGTCTGGCTTCTTTACCCGGGTACAGGGTATAGCAGGCCAGCCCACAGCAAGAACTCAGGAAATGCTCGGCTGGGGGAACCAGGTCCGTACTCACTTCCATGCCTGGCGTGAGGGACAGATGGCCAAGGCCAGAGTGGTAGCGCCGGTTTCTCTTTCAGAAGCTGACGGCGTTCCAGCCAGCTCCCAAAGTCATCCGCTGTATGACCAACACCCCAGTGGTAGTGCGGGAGGGTGTCACTGTGTACGCCACAGGCACTCACGCTCAGGTGGAGGATGGCAGGCTCGTGGAGCAGCTCATGGGCAGCGTGGGCTTCTGCACAGAGGTGGAGGAGGATCTGATCGATGCTGTCACGGGGCTCAGTGGCAGCGGCCCTGCCTATGTGAGCACCGGAGTGATGGGTGGTGGTCTCCCGGGGCCTCTGTGCACCTCTGTTTCAGCTGTGCCCTGCTCTGGGTCCCAGAGAAGAGAGTAGGACAGTGGCTGAGGATGGATGCGTTCTCCCCACAGGCTTTCACTGCCCTGGATGCTCTCGCTGATGGTGGTGTGAAAATGGGGCTTCCGAGGCGCCTGGCTGTCCGCCTGGGGGCCCAGGCCCTCCTGGTCAGTGTTTTGAGATACTTGTGGCAGCTGTTCCTTGTTAAGCCCAAAACTAGTGTCCTGGGGACGTGAGTGGGAAGTCAGCAGGCGCTTTGGTGGCAGAGGACTCTGCAGAAGCAGGTAGTTAGGTGCCCTACTGCCATCAGACCCCCCTTTCTTCTCATAGGGGGCAGCTAAGATGCTACTAGACTCAGAACAGCATCCAGGCCAGCTCAAGGACAATGTCTGCTCTCCTGGTGGGGCCACCATCCATGCCTTGCATGTGCTGGAGAGTGGGGGCTTTCGCTCCCTGCTTATCAATGCTGTGGAGGCCTCCTGCATCCGTACACGGTAGGTCCCACTGTTTTCCCACTCCCCAGCCACCTACTCCGTACACCAGAATCCAGGCTTCAAAGACTTGGGCGGAGTTATTCACTCAGCAGATACCACTGAGCCCTGTCCTGCCTCTGAGAAGGATTTTGGCAGTCTCAAGGTTCCTCGGGCCACAATAAGCAATGCCTCTAGCTCCCTTCCATTGCCGTGTGAGAAGGGTTATCTTCATGTGTCTGTAGACAGTATCTGGTCCTACAGTAGAGCCTCTATTCCATTTCACCATCATGACCAGGGAGCAGCCAGGCTATAAAGGTGGCTGGGCAGTTTAGGGGCCTGGCTCAGCACCTTCTTCATGACCTTTCCCAGGTGAAGTGAGTTGGCTGAGATGGTAGCATGTTGGCAGCAAGACAGCCTGGTGAGAGTTGAATGAAACATGCCCAGGCTCCCTCAGTCGGTGTAAGGCAGAACCACGGCTGGGAGATCACTGTCCCAGGTTCATGACGACAGGGCAAACCAGCAGTCTGTCTCTATGCCAGTGCCCACCCTCCAAGCACAAATGCCTAGAGAAGTCTTGAGTGCCACAAGCAAAGCCTGGACGTGGGACCTAGCCACTTAGCATGGCCCACATGGAAACAGGAGAAGCAAGACCCTGCCACAGGTCGGACAGTGACAAGCTCAGGACTAAGGAGTGCTAAAGTCGCCTTGATGGTTGGTATTGCAGCCAGCGAGGCCCTAAGTCACTCCGAACGGTGTGAGAAGTAGCCATGCAGCTGTAGAGACGGGGGGGGGGGGGGGGGTCCGCAGGTGTAATAGGGCCCAGAGATGGGGTGCCAGTATAGCTACCCACCACAGCCACTGGGGGGGGGGGAACAGCTCAGACCCAGTGTCTCATTGCTTTCCCAGGGAGCTACAGTCCATGGCTGACCAGGAAACTGTCTCCCCTGCTGCCATCAAAAAGACTGTACTGGACAAGGTGAAACTGGAGTCCTCTGCTGCGGCCTCTCTGTCTTCTTCTGGCCATATTAAGTCACTGCCCGAGTGACTCATCTGCCCACATTCCTCCTGCTCTCTGCCTTCTCTTCTTTTCTTTCTCTTCCTTTCCCTTTTCCCCCCTTTTTGTTCTTTTTGTTTCTTTCTTTCTTTCTTGAGACAAGGTTTCTCTGTGTAGCCCTGGATTAGTACTCACTCTGTAGACCAGGCTGGCCTTGAACTAACAGTTTTTGGTGAGTTTTTGTTTTGTTTTGTTTTTGCTGTTGTTGCTTGGTCTGTGTGTTTAAGAAGGGTTTTTTTTTTTTTCCCCTATATAGTCCAGATTATCTTTAAACTTTTGTTTTGTTGTTTTGTTTGTTTTGAGACGGCGTTTCTCTGTGTAGCTTTGGAGCCTGTCCTGGAACTCACTCTGTAGACCAGGCTGGCCTAGAACTCACAGAGATCTGCCTGCCTCTGCCTCCCGAGTCACGGATTAAAGATGTGTGCCACCACTGCCCTGCTAGCTTTGAACTCTTAATCCTCCACTCTAGTTTCTCAAATTCTGGGATTATGGGGAAATATTAACATGCCAACCCCCTTTTTGTTTTCTTTAAGATAGTGGCTTGATTTGTTATCTAGCCAAAGCTCAAACTTCTGGGGCTCAGGGCATGCTCCCATGTCAGGCCCCTCAAGTGCACAGTACCTGGCTGACTCAGTTCTTTCTTCTCTCTGGGTGCTCTAGCTCAAAACCACACAGACTATCCCCACAGCAGGCCCTTGCCCACAGCCAGGTCAGCCCCAGGGCCAGCCAGGAAGGGGACACATTACTTGCAACTGGGGACCTCCAGCTCTTCAGCTTCCTGGGGTCTTCATGCTCTCCAGCTCCAGGATCAGCTGGCTTTTTTTTTTTTTTTTTTTTTTTTTTTGGTTTTAGAGACAGGGTTTCTCTGTATTGTTTTGGAGGCTGTCGGTCCAGCCCGGCCTCGAACTCACAGAGATCCGCCTGCCTCTGCCTCCCGAGTGCTGGGATTAAAGGTGTGCGCCACCACCGCCCAGCAGGGTCAGCTGGCTTAGTGTGGCCCCTTCCTGTGATGCACTTATTTGTGGTTGCCTGTCCTTTCTGTGAGAACCGCCTAGTCCCTGACATCCTGTCCCTCCTTCTAGGGACTTCAACCTCTACCAAGGATCCCACCAGGCATTTGGGGAAAAGGGGCTTCTCAGGTAGCTAATGAAACTTTAGCTCGTTCCTGAACTAACTCACCAAATACTGTTACTTCTCTTCCTATCCTTTCAGTTGAATAAAAACATTTTCTCAAACAGCTCCCATTTACTCATTTGTCACCTGTGGAAAGAGGCTTGCCTGGACAGGGGAGTGTAATTCTGAGGGATGAGCCAATAACACAGGTCCCATAAAACTGGCTACGGCCAGGCCGAAGGTCTTCCGTAGAGCAGAGGGCTACAGAGCGTCAGTGCCCCTGTCATAAGAAGCCTGTCTGAAGACTAGCACCATAACAGGGCTTGGCACACTGACTTGGTGAGGGACACCAACCTCTTCAGTACCTACCCCTGTAGCTTGCCAGGGAGAGATGCCTTGCTGGCGGATCCAGGCTGGACAAAGCCAAGTTCCTGGTGAGGAGGAACCCTTTGAGGGAAGTTTCAGAATTTTCCAGATGGACAGAATCAGGGTCTCTCTCTCTCTCTCTGTCTCTCTCTCTCACACACACACACACACACAGAAATGAGGAGCCTCTGCCTCCTGAATCCTGGGATTAGAAGCATGTGCCATAGCACTTGGAACGCAGAAGCAGGCAGATCTCTGTGCGTTCAAGGCCAGCTTGGTCTACAAAGCAAGCTGCTACATAGAGAAACCCTGTCTCAGAAAAAAAAAAGCCAGGCAGTGGTGGTTCACGCCTGTAATCCCAGCACTCAGGAGGCAGAGGCAGGTGGATCTCTGAGTTTAAGGCCAGCCTGATTTAAAGAGTGAGTTCTAGGACAGCCAGGGAAACAGAGAAACACTGCTTTAATATATATATATAGTTAAATTTTTATGTGTATGAGTGTTTGTCCATATGTATGTATGTGTACCCATATGTACCTGGTGCCCTTGGAGGCCAGAAAATGGCATTGAATCCCCTGGAACTGAAGCTATACATAGTTGTGAGCTCCACATAGGTGCTGGGAACTGAGCTCAGGTCTTCTGAAGGATGAAGGTCACTGCCATCCACCCTGTCCTTTGGGACTTGTAGAGAGGACACTCTAGGAAATGACCCAGGCTTCTTTGTATCTGCTGAGTCATCTTTAGCCGTAAACTGCCGTTCTTAACACCAAAGTCTACTAATTTATTTTATTATTATTTACTTGTTTACTTTTGGTTTTTCAAAACAGGGTTTCTCTGTGTAGCCTGTCCTGGAACTCAATTTATAGACCAGGTTGGCCTTGAATTTGTAGATCGGCCTGCCTTTACCTCCTGAGCGCTGGGATTAAAGGCATGCACCATCACCACCCAGCCAAAAGTCTACAAATTTAGATGTTTTATTTATTCATTTTTCCCCCCAAGCATTGGAGCCTGTCCTGGAGCTCGCTCTGTAGAGCAGGCTGGCTGTGAACTCACAGAGATCCTCCTGCCTCTGCCTCCTGAGTGCTGGGACTAAAGGTGTGTGTCTCCAATACTCGGCTAGATGTGTTTTTGTTTGCTTGATTGTCCACTAGTTCAAACATTAATCTTGTATGATAATACTTAGGCAACACCGACATTGGAGTTGTAGCAGCAACAAATTTTTATTGTTTTGTTTTGTTTTGTAGACATGGTTTCTCTGTGTAGCCCTGGCCATCCTGGAACTCACTCTGTAGGACAGGCTAGCCTTGAATTCACAGAAACCCGCCTGCCTCTCCCTCCCGAGTGCTGGTAATAAAGGTGAGTGCCAGGGCTGGAGAGATGGCTCAGAGGTTAAGAGCACTGAGTGCTCTTCCAGGGGTCTTGAGTTCAATTCCCAGAAACTACATGGTGGCTCACAACCGTCTGTAATGAGATCTGGTGCCCTCTTCTGGACTGCAGGCAGACATGCAGACAGAACCCTGTATACATAATAAATAAATAAATCTTTAAAAAAAAAAAGTGAGTGCCACCACCCCCTGGTGTTCATGTTTCTTTAATTAGAAGTTACTGAGCATGGAGACAGGAAGAGGATGTCCCTACCTCAAAATTTGATATATACATTCTTCAGGGAGCCTGAGAGTTGACTATGGGAGCAGAGGTCACCTGGTGGCTTCCTGTGCCTGTGCAGCAGGTCAGAGGGAAGAGGTCTTCCAGGGGGCTTCACATCAGAGTTGCACTGCCCCTTTTCTCATTCCCCATGAACAGTTTAGAACCAAGGCTGACTGAGACAGTTGAGAGGACAGACTCCAGCTAAGAAACAGTGCTGTAGATACGGGAGACGGGGGAGAGGGGGGTTGAGCCACTGTGCAAGAGCTCAGGTGGGTTGCCGGGAAACTTAACTTCTTGAAGTACCCACTCAGCAAAAAGAGAGGCTTAGGCTTTGTTTGCAAGACACATGCAATGAGCCTACTGAATCTCTCTATGTTCTCTGAGACTCCAGCTTCTCTCTTCTCCACCACTAGTCCCAGGAACAAGTACGCTGAGCCTGTGTGAGGAGCCAGGGGATGATTTTTTTTTTTTTTTTTTTTTGGTTTTTCGAGACAGGGTTTCTCTGTGCCTTTGGAGGCTGTCCTGGAACTCACTTGGTAGTCCAGGCTGGTCTCGAATTTACAGAGATCCGCCTGCCTCTGCCTCCCGAGTGCTGGGATTAAAGGCGTGCGCCACCAACGCCCGGCTTGATGCTTTTTTTTTTAAATGTACACTTGTATTTTGCTTGTATATACCCTGTGTGAGGGTGTCGATATCGGGAACTGGAGTGGGATACCATGGAAACGGAGTTACAGAAAGTTGTGAGCTGCCTTGTGGGTGCTGGGAATTGAACCCCGGGTCCTCTGGAAGGGCAGCCAGTGCTCTTAGCCGCTGAGCCATCTCTCCAGCCCCCAGGTTCTTGAGTAGGTGAGATCTATACAGTGAGGCGGCTCCGCCCTTTGCCGAAGATGCATCTGTGCTCCTGGGGTCCTGTTTCAATGCGGCTTCTACTTTCCTTCACTGTCCCCTCTGTGAATATGTGCACGTTAGTCACTGCTCTCTAGGTGTCAGGACCCTGTCCATCATGCTGGGGAAGATTCCGGAGGCTGGGTCACCTCCCGGAAGTGTCCCCCTCTCCGTGGGACCCTTGGGATGAGTGAGGTGGAGCACCAGCCTCAGACTTAACCCCAAGTCCAGGGCTCTCTACCCCGAAGCAGCGGCTCCACACCACAGCCCCGCACCGACTCCAGAAGGGTTCTCGCCGCTGATGATTTCTAGGAGACTCTTGTGGCCCTGGGTGTGTACGTGCACGGAGACTAGGTTCCTGTGAATGCCCAGCAAGGACTGGGGAGCGAGACTCCCTGGCGGTGGGAGACCTTAGTAAGGATGATTCACAAAGATGACTCGGAGGTGCGCGTGAAAGCCAGACCAGAATGCTGCGAGGACCATGGTGTAAGGGGGGGGGGCACGGAACCCATGAACGGGGATGAACCCGGCAACTGTGCGCCTCGGCAGCCACCCCAGGATCCATGGCATTCACTCCTAAGGATGCTCGAGCAGGTGGCACAAGGACAGGGAGCAGCAGATGAAGGAACAAACCCTGACTGAGGTGGGAGAGTGGCTGGGGGGCTCCTCCGAACCAGCTGTCGGTGACGAGGACAAAGATACTGAACACAAGGATGCACTAGGCCTCTCCTCTGACCTAATATCTGCTCGTGTGTGTGTGTGTGTGTGTGTGTGTGTGTGTGTGTGTGTACATGAGCGCGCGCCCGCATGTGTGTCTAGTATCCTCCGAACCAGCAGTCGGTGACGAGGACGAAGCTACTGAACACAAGGATGCACTAGGCTCTCCTCTGACCTAATATCTGCTCGTGTGTGTGTGTGTGTGTGTGTGTGTGTGTGTGTGCGCGCGCACGCGTCTAGACCCCTAACATTGTGGGGTAAAGAGCTTGAGGGCTTCCTGATCACGGTGCCTGGAGTCCCAGTTACTTCTTGATTATTTATTTATTTATTTATTTTTGGTGTGTATAGGGGTTGAGACAGGGTTTCTCTGTACTGTTTTGGAGGCTGTCCTGGAACTCACGCTGTAGACCAGGCTGGCCTCGAACTCACAGAGATCCCCCTGCCTCTGCCTCCCAAGTGCTGGGATTAAAGGCGTGGGCCACCAACGCCCGGCTTATTGTTTTTCAGGATTGGGTTTCCTTGTGTAGCTCTAGCTGTCTCGGAACCCGCTCTGTAGAGCAGGCTGGTCTCGAACTCAAAGATCCACCTGCCGTCCCACCCCCACCCCCAGTGCTGGGATTAAAGACGTGTGCACCAGCACAGCCCAACAAGTCCTAGTTACTCACTCTTGAGTCCAAGAGCTTGAGGCTGGTCTGAGCAACAGAGTAAGACTCATCTTCATAAATAAAGGCGATAGCCACGAAGGAGGGCATGGAAGCTCATGCCTGTAATGCCAGAATTTGGGAGGCTAGAAGCAGAAGAGTTGCTGCTGAGCTGAAGCCAGCCCAGGCTGCAGAGTGGGACCCTGTCTTACAACTTACAACAGAAAACAAAGGAAAGGAGGAAGAAGACAACAGAAACCTTGAGGGCATAAGGAGTTAATTCTACATTCACATAAGCCCTGTACCCCAAGGCTCTAGCTACAACCAGTGAGAGGTAAAGACCCACCCCCTACACACTCCAAAATTGGGGTTTATTGTTCCTGGAAGCTGGCAGAATGGACTGGGGGATCCTGGCTTAGCTTCTGTCATACCTCCAACCGTCACTCAGCGGCACTGAACCACGCACGGAGAACACACAGAAACCCATCCCCAAGTCCGCTTGCCCCCCTTTTCCTGCCTTTCCACCTGAGAAGGGAGGGCCAAGTAGAAAGTTCTGAAACTGGAAATGAAAACTCGATCTCTCCCATTCTCCCTCTTTTCACTTTTTATTTTCACTCCATTCGAGGGAATTTTCCACAGCAGTGGGAAGTTTGCTCACAGAAACGGCGGCGGCGGCGGCAGCAGCAGCAGAGTGCATCGGAAGCAGTTTTAGATGTGTCAGAAAAGGGGCGAAAAGTGCACAACTCTTAATTACAGCGCATGCACACAGCGGCAGGTGAGGTCCCTGGCACCGTAACGAGATCAGGATCATTAGCGCGCACCGTCGGAGCCCTAGTGCCATCTCGGGCATTTTGGGGATGTGGGCTGGGGTCTGGGCTGTGCCTTTCCAGCTCTCTGACCCCACTCAGAAATAAGAAACCACGCCACCGTGTCACCCCATGAAAACACCAAGCGGGGCCCCCGCGCGTGGCGTCTACGGTTCCAGGTCTCGGGAGGCAGACAGAGGCAGGGAGCATCGCCCCGGGAACCCAAAGCCAGTCTGTGCTCGCTACACACATAGTGAAACCCTGTAAGCTAGTGGAAAAACAACAACAACAAAAACAAACCCGAAAATACCCACGCAAGGTTCTGTCCCAATAGACCTCGGCCCGAGTTGGCGCGGAGACCCGGAGGGAATCTGATCCATCAAGTGCTCGGGTCCCGAGGAAAAAAAAAAAAAAAGCAAGTATTCCCGGGAACCTGACCCGGCAGGAGCACAGTGGGCCCGGGAGAGAGAGGGAGAGCGAGAGGAGAGCGCCGGGACGAGTCCCGCGAGACGTCGCCTGGGCGCGGCGGGTTGCCAGGGACGACGGCGCCGGGCTGCGCAGGCGTGATGGGGGCGCGCTCGCCTCGCCGTCGCCGCCGCGCCTTTCCCTTTAAGCTCAGGCCAGCCGCGTCGCCGCTTCATGAATGGAGCCCACGTGACCAAACATCATGTGACGTCTGAGGAGCGGCGGCGGCGGCGGCGGCGGTGGCGGATTCTGAGCCCGGTCCGGCCCGGCCTTCCTAGCGCGCTCGGCCCGGCCCGCGTGAGCGCCCAGTCCCCCACTTAAGCCTTCGGCCGGGACCCTTCGCGCCCGCCCCAGCCCCGCGCAGCCTCGGAGCGCGCGCGCGCGGCCCCGCCCCAGCCCCGCCTCGGCCCGCCCGGGCCCGCAGTGTGGTGAGTGCGCGGGGCTTGGGGCTTCTTGGGGCTTGGGGCTTGGGGCTGGGGCGGTCGGCGGGGCCGGGCCTCGGGGTTGCGGCGCACCCGACGGCGGCGCGCGCGCCTCGGCTTCCCCGCCGGTCGGTCGGTCGGAAGCCGGCGGCTCGCCGGTGCCACCCGGGAGCTGGTGGGCCGGGCGAAGGCGAGGCTGGGAGCTCCGGGCGTGCGCGCGACGGACGCCCCCCCCACACCCTCCTTCCCCGGGTGCCCCGCGGGGGGCGCGATTAAAGGGCGAGGTCCGCGCGTCTGCCCGGGTCAGCGGGGGTGGCCGCCCCAAAGCTGCTGACTCATCAGGTGTCCGTCGGCTTCCGTGCGGGCGGGGTCGCGCGGGCTGGCAGGGGGGCGGGCGGCGGGGAGACCCTGCTGAGCGGCTTGGGCTCGCCACGCGCGTGCGAGCCCAGCGGAGACGTGCTGAGTCATCAGCATGAGGTCACTTGGTGCTCCTGCTGACGCTGGGCCGGGGCGGGGGGCCCAGGCCCCGCTATCGGGCGGTCCGAGCGGGAGGCAGGGTTCGATCCGGGCGGCGAAGGTCGGGCCAGGAGCCGGGGTCGTGTTTTAAGTTGAACGGACCTGTGAGTTGGAGGCAAAGGCCTCGAAGGAGGCATTACAGGGGCGCGCCGCAGGTTTCTCCCCGGGTTGGAAGGTACAAAAGCCCCAGGCTTAACGCATCCCTTCCTCTGCTCCTGGGGCTCCCGGTCCAGGTCCCACGCCTGGTCCAGTTCCCCAAACTGGGAGACGGATCGGAGTACGCTGAGGGGAGGAGCTTAGGTGGGCCGAGCCAGCTTGTCTGGGAAGGAGGCTTCCCTTCTGAGTGACCCTGGCTGGCCAGGCGGCGTCGGCCCTGGACGGAAAAGACCGGGGAGTCAGGAGAGAAGGGTGTGTGGCTTGAAGGAAGCCGGAGGAAAGGGTGGATGGTAGCCGGTGGGAGTTTCGAGGTGCAAGCATGGAGTGAAGGGAAAATGTAGTCCTCTCTCATTTACCTCTCCTTTATCCCTGTCAGAAGAGCTTGGGGCCCCACTGCTGCCCGAAGTTAGCAAAAAGTGTGTGCCCTGCTGGGTGTCTGACCCGATGACTGCAAACTCTTGGGGAGTGACAGCCTGCGTGGGTGTGGCCTCCGCCTTTGCATGGCTGTGTGGATATTTACTGACTTCTCTTGCGGTGAAGGGTCCCGAGCTCTGTTCTGTATTGCTTTCCTCGCCCGGAGTTTCATGGCTGGCTTAAGCTGACCTTGTGGTGGTTTGTGCTTAGACATGTCCCCTCCACACTTACGCCCTGAGCCCTGAGGCTGCTTGTGGGTGCCAGGTGTTTTCGTTTAGGGTGGAACTTTGTGCCCTATGAGAATTCAAAAGTCCCAGAAAGGTGTTTATGCTTTGGAGTCACTATGCTTCTGTGACATAAAGCTTTTAAGTTGTTTTTCAAATAATGTCAGTATTTGAGGGAAGGGAGACCAAAGTTTGGGCCTCCTGCACTGGAGTTTGCAGGCAAAGGTTGAGCAAGGGTCACTGTCTTGCTCGAGAGTAATGTCCAGATGTCCCCCTGTGAGAGTATTTGGAGGAGGGCGGAGCTGGGGGGGCAAGCTGGCCTTGATCAGCTTCTCTGAGCGTCTTCCTCAGGCTCTGAACTGTACCTCAGCACAACTGTCCCCCAAAGCTGTCTGCCTAGTCACCGTGTGACCCTAGGTTGGCAGGAGCTAGGCAGGCAGCTGGGAGCACAGGCTTTGCTGAGACCTGCTCTCCCCCCTTAAGCATACATATGAACATACACATGCACGTTTGCACGCACGTGCACACACACACACACCCCTACCTTTGACCAGGAGGCAGTTGGCTGTACTTGTGCTGAGTTCAGGCCTTCAGCAGAGGGGAAAATCTGTTGAGGAGGCACTTTTCAGGCTCCCAGCCACCACACGCTGCAATTTTCTGTGCAATCGCAGGAAGTCTCCCTTTTTGAGCTTAGCAGTCTGTGTGAAGGAAGCTCCTGCTGGGGCTGCCTCTGTCACCTCTGCTTGTGCTCCTGGCGAGAGTCGGGGGGGGGGGCAACTTCTAAAGAGAGGCAGATACCCTTTCAGACCCCTAGCCCTGACTTCTGTCTTTCTCTCTGATCTAACGGGACTGTTGTCTCTGAAAATGCTCTCAGTCTGGGCCTGGAGAAGGGTCTCCAGCCTCTGTGCTTAACATTTGCCTGTAGCCACGCCTCCTGAGCACGGCTGAGGGCGGTAGGGTCTCTTACTCAAGGTGTGTGCCTCTGCTTTCCTGGCTCACACTTGGTGAGTGTAAGAAGTGTCAGACTCCCCCACCCCGGCACATTGTTGCCTCTGGAAGACACTGAAGCCGGCCTCGCTTGTGGGCCCCTTCCCTTTCCCTGCACCTAACCCTGGAGAGGGGAGGAGGCATCGAGTAGGCCATTGGGACTCATAGGTGCTGGGCGAAGCGGGGATTCCCAGCCTGGGTATACAAAAAAAAAAAAAAATGTTCTTGGCAAGGCTTTAGAAATCTGAAAATAAGATCAAGTGCCAGAGGGGTGGCTGGCCGTAGAAGGTAGCTGTTTTGCTTTTGTTCCCTGGCCCTGTGGTCACTGACCCTAGGCAGAGAGCCAGAGACCAGCCAGTGACCCAAAGGGGCTGACTCTTGCCTGCTTCCAGCCAACAGTGCCCTCCCTCTGCTAATTGCTGGGGGGGGGGGCTTGTGAAATACCCAGTATCGGGTGGGGCAGGAGGAGCGCAGGATGCCGCAACCAAGCCACAGGATGGTTACTCCATCTGTAAAGGAGGTGGACAGGGAGGACTGGAGGGGCCTGGGCTCAGCTTCTCCCAGCTGGATTGCCTGCTACCTGGAAGGTGAGAGGATTCCCAGTCAGCACAGTTAAAGCAAACCTGGTTGGTCCTCTGCCAGAATGAGGCAGGAAACAGCCTCCTAAGTCCTAGAGGGAGAAAAGACTTTCCTTTTTGTCCTGGGCAAGCTTAGGGAGGAATACTCGGGAGCTAGGACCCTCCTGCAGTACAGGGTCCTTGACTGACCCTTGCCTGCCGCTGGTCCCAGTGGTGGGGTCTCCTGGGGGAACTCTTGGCCGGCCTCAGGAATGGGAGAACAGCTCAGGAAGAGAGGGAGGCAATATGCTGAGTCAGCGTGACTCGCCAGGAACAGTGTGCTCTGGGGCAGCACTGAGGTTATTTTTAAAGCTCAGCTTCCTTCTGGACTTGCCCCTCCTGCAGCCCAGACCTTCTAATCTCTCTCTGCTCCCTTTGTCTTCTGCCTTCACACAGCTGCTGCTTCCCTGGGTAAAACCGCCCCGGTCTCCCACCTGTCTCTCTCTAGGGAAAGGGCCTTCTTCTGAAGCAGCCCAGCTCAGGTCAGGTGAGGGCAAGGTTCAGTGGACTGAGCACCAGACGGCAAGCTTCCTGTTGGGGTGTGTAAAGTGGGGGGGTCTTCGGGGTCCTGACCTCTGCTGTGTGTCTTGCAGAGTGCCTGCTTCATTGTGCCCCCCCCGGGTTATGACGACCCCCAATAAAGGAAACAAGGCCTTAAAGGTGAGCGGAGGAAGCTGGGTTCGGGGTGAGGCGTGGGGGCAGGGGTGGGGGGGTGGGCATCCCTGCTCTGCTGTGACCCTGCGTGCTGTTCTCCTCCAGGTGAAGCGGGAGCCGGGCGAGAATGGCACCAGCTTGACTGATGAGGAGCTGGTGACCATGTCCGTGCGGGAATTGAACCAGCACCTGCGAGGCCTGTCCAAGGAAGAGATCATCCAGCTGAAGCAGCGCCGCCGCACACTTAAGAACCGCGGCTACGCAGCCAGCTGCAGAGTGAAGCGGGTGACGCAGAAGGAGGAGCTGGAGAAGCAGAAGGCGGAGCTGCAGCAGGAGGTGGAGAAGCTGGCGTCTGAGAACGCCAGCATGAAGCTGGAGCTTGACGCCCTGCGCTCCAAGTACGAGGCCCTGCAGAACTTTGCCAGGACCGTGGCCCGCAGCCCCGTGGCCCCAGCTCGGGGTCCCCTTGCTGCTGGCCTGGGGCCTTTGGTCCCTGGCAAGGTGGCTGCCACCAGCGTCATCACAATAGTAAAGTCCAAGACAGACGCTCGGTCATAGGGACATGTGCAATGGCCAGGCAGGTCTCTAAGGGGCCCCTGAGTGCGTGGCAGAGTTGGCAGCCCTGTCCCTCTTCCTCTCCTTTTCCCTCTTCTCCTCTCCCTTCACCTTCTCCTCCCCTGCAAAGCACAACCTGCACCCAGGGGCGTTGGGCTGGGCCCCTATCATCCTTGTTGTCACGCGTGTGTTTTGTACGTTGGGATCAGTCAGTTCAACAGTGATGTTGGGTTGCCCCCAACCCCTTTGTACCAAGGCCATGCAGGCTAGGAGTCCAGAGTGGGAATGAACAAGAGTGCACTGCGCTTAGGTCTGCCCTCCCCCTCTCTGGTGGTCTGCAGGGCCCACAGGCTGCCAGCGTGCAGTGGGACTTGAGAGCTTTCTCTTTGGATTCCAGTGGGCCTCTCAGCTTGATCCCGAAGGAAGAGATGGGCTCTGTCCTGAAAAGTGGTTATGTCTTGAAGGCTCTGGATGGGTTAGGCCACCAGCCTGGGCACTGGGGCAGGAACCATGGTGCTGGAGCCTGGCACAGTGCACTGGATAAGACCAAATCGCCGGTTCTAAGTGTGGGTGGAAGGTGTGTCAGTGTGTCCTGCGATGGGTCCGGTGTCACTGTTTACATGACCTATTTGTGTGGTTATATAGCCCTTTATTTAAAAGAGAAGTTCCTTTTACGAAGTTATTAAATTATATGTTTAAGAGCTAAAAAGAAAAAAAAGAGCTGCAGAGTATTTATAAAATTGTCTTAAAAAGAAAAAAAAAACAAAAAACCCAACATTTGACCATATAGATGGAAAAGGGAAGAAAGTATAGTATAAGCTTTGCTAGGTTTAAAAAAAAAAACTCTTTCTTGTAAACTTGGGGACAGCTCTGTGGCTGTTGGAGTTTAGTTTTTATACACAGAGTTATCAGACATTACTTATAAAACTTAGTTTAAAAAAAAGAAAAAGAAAAAAAAAAAGCCAAGCTGCGAGCCGACCAGAGGCCGTCCTCTTTGATATCTTTTGCAATTGTACCGAAAGTGACTTACTCCTTTGCCCTTCCTGCTTCCGTCTTGCCGGTGCCGTGGTGTCGTCCGTGCCTGGTGAGGTTTTGTGCAGCCGTAAAGTGCTGGTGCTTCTGGTGACCTTTGACCTGTGGCCGTCCCTGTGTGTGGGGTATTTTTGTGTGTGTGTGTTTGTTTGTTTGTTTGTTTTTTTTGGATTTTGTTGCGGTTTTGCTTCTGCTGGCTTGCTGGACCTGAGTTGGGCCGGGGCCCCAGGCAGAGCTCACACATCCTTCTGCACACATTCTCTGCCAGTTGGTCCTTCTGAGCCTCAGCTTGGCGTGTGGGTCCTGGGCGTGGGTTGACGCCGAGGTGGCAGAGTAAGTGAGATTGGGAGCTGTCTTGGCTCCCACCGCCCCTCCCCCCACATGCTGCTGCCACATCCACCACCTCTGGTCCTGGGTGGTGGCATCGCAGGGACCAAGGAGTCACTGTGGGTGCCCAACGGGGCTGTGTCCTACCTGTCCCTGGCTGTCTTCCTCTTAGCCCCAGCTTTGTCCCTTTAGGCTTCACTTGGGGCCTCGGCTAGGCCACCCCAGGGGCCTACCTTGTGGGTTGGGAATCTTTTATCACCCACCTATCCCTAAAATCCCCTTCTGTGGGGTATTGTTTCCCAGGCAGACTGGTCAGGGGCCCCACTTGGGGCAACCTATTCTTCCCTGCCTCACTGTGAGAGCCTGGAGGCCTCTCGACCATTGCCAGACAAGGGCTTTGGCTTTTCCCCACTGTCTGCAGCTCTTGGCCCTGGGCCCTTCTCATGCCTCCCTTCAGGATCTGTGTCTTCCAGGGATCCGCTGTTCGACTTGGAGGTGCTTCTCTGCAGGGTCTAAGCCCACCTCCTCACCCCAGCTATCCAGTGGAGGCTGCCCACCTTCTAGGCTTGGCTGGGGAAGCTCCTCATAGCGGATGCCCACCTGCAAGAGGCTGTATTTCTGTCTGGTCACACGGCCCTTGACCTCTTGCTGGCATTGCTGGTGTCTTCTTTGGGGGCCCTGGATCCCTGAAAAGCACAGAATGTGAGCTGCTGAAAGGAAAGACTGGCCTGATAGGCCTTTACCTCGCGGGCAGCGGGGTTGTTCACTCAGTTTGGCCCAGCATGCAGTGCTCTGGGAGCAGGACCTCTGCCAGCCCTGGCATGTCGGTGGGCTTCTTTGGCTCAAGGTGCTCAGACACTCCCATTGATGCCTGAGTCATGTGAGTGGAAGTCTGGACTGTTGATTATAAGTTACCAGGTGACCTCATCCCCTCCCTTTGGTTCTCACAAACTGGTACCCATACGAGTTGCTGATTCTGACTGGCAGCAGAGCTGGAATGCATCGTGCCCATACCTAGCCGAGGAGAGGGACAGGCTTTCCGCGCGCTCCTTGGCCCTGGTCGAGTGGTGTATAAACTGAGCATGGCCATCTGTGTGCATAGCTCCAGCTCGCAGGAGGGTGAGGAAGAGGAGGTTGGCCGGAAGTATCGAGTCTTAGCTTCTGAACAGGACGGGGCCGTGCTCACAGCGTTCAGTTCAGATTGGCAGCGCCCGCTTGAGTCTGGGGAACATTTCCCTGTTGAGCCAGCCCTGCAGTGCCACCCCGTGTCCCTTCCTTCTCCTTGGTTTTGTGACAGCAAATCCTGTGTCCCAAGTGTGACTGTTGCCTGTCTCCCTGACCATTGTTAGTTCTGTTTTCCTACTGTGAGGGTGTTGTGTTTGACTTTTGACACAGCGAATGGAGAGCTTTGGCTGAGGCCAGGTCTCCCAAACTACTCTGCTAAGTAAACCATTATTGTGCAACTTCCGTCCTACCTTGACTTTGCCTGACCTCCTTCCTTGGACGTGGACACTCAGATTTCAAAGAGAAACCCACATGAGATGGGTCGGCTTTCTCCAGAGAGTCCCTCCCCTCTGTTGTGTCTGGCTGCTGACCTGGGTGTTGTGCAGGGCCTCCATGGTAGCACTGAGTTGTTATTCTGGGTTCACTGTTGGTGACCAGGCTTCCCCACAGGCTGTTCTCGGTCCACCTTTCAGGTCTATGTGTATTGCGTGTGCGTTAGCAGCAGCCTTGGCGCTCAGTGCCAGGGTGTGCAGTTTTGATAAGCTACAGGCCACTTGGAGATGGTGAGGCCACTTCCCCCACTACCTCCCTCTCTGGTGTGGCCACTTGGCCAAAGCTCCCATCCACCGCTGGGATGTCTGAGCCACAGCCTGCTGCACTGTTTCCGCTCTGGGATCTTCTGAGTTACTTTTTTAGGCTGTGGTTTGGTGAAAGGAACCAACACATTAACGATTTTTTCTCCCCCCCCCCAAAAAAAAGCCACTGAATAATTCTTGGCATGTTTTCATGTCCCTGTTGGCTGCCTGGTGTGGGAGCAGTTGTGAAGAAAAGGACAGTACCACACAGGCATGGAATTTTGAGAGCTGCCTGTGGCCTGCCTGTTTCTGGCATGTGCCCTAGGTGTGTGCTGTACCTGCTGGGCCAGCTGCACACGTTTCTTAACCTGTCCCTGGAGCAGCCGCGTGAGCAGTGTGGGTGTCTCTGGAGGTTTGGAGTGTTCTAGGAAGTGTCCCTGACAGAATTCCCTGTTCTCTATGACCCCAGTTGGGCTCTCGGTCCCTCTAGCAACTTTATGCCCCAGTCCTATCTTTCCTCCCATCCTCTCTCGTCTGCTAGTCCTTGAAGCCTTTAACCAAATGGGAGTGGGTACAGAAAACCTTCTCCTGGCAACTTAGGGCAACAGGACAAGGGCTATTGTGTGTCCAGCTCTGTTGGTCTCCTGGTGCTGAGAGGTGTGTCCAAGCAGAGTTGACCAGCCCCCCTGCCTGCCCTGCAGGGCTGAAGCCAGGGGGAAGTTAATAGAGAGTATCCCAAATGGGCTGGGGGTCCTTAAAGATCTACGTGAGGAGGGGCTGGGGTGTGACTGCAAGGTGAGACATAGTCTCCTGCACCTGGGTTGGGCCATCAGGGATCTGGCTGCGAGGTGGGGCCTGGGCGTTCGCACCAATTGCAGGGCGATCAGCCGCCTGGCCCAGCAGACAGCAGCCTTGGTGCCCACCCGTGCCCTGCGCAGTATTTATTGCTAAATTATTGTCCAGGAGGGGCGGCGCTGGGCCTGGCCCCCCGGGTATTTATTGCTGTACATAGTGTATGTTTGTGATATATAAGGTTTTCTTTATTTTGTATATGATCAATAAACACCTTTTAAAGAGACCTGCTGGTATTTCTTTGCAACGAGGCGAAGAGGGGGACGAAACTAGGGTGTGAAGGGCGAGCCGGAAGGGGCGGGGCGGGCCGGGAGCACGCATGCGTCTCTGTGGCTGCCCGGCGAGGCGGAAGCGGAAGCCGGAAGCGCAGTCCAGGGAGCGATGGCAGCCGGTGGCGGTCTGAGTCGCTCGGAGCGGAAGGCGGCTGAGCGGGTCCGGAGGCTGCGGGAGGAGCAGCAGCGGGAGCGCCTCCGCCAGGTAGGCTGCCGTCGTGCCCGCGACCGTGCCCGCGCGTGCAGTCGCTGACCTATCGCCCGCCCGCCCGCAGGTGTCACGCATCCTGAGGAAGGCGGCTGCAGAGCGCAGCGCGGAGGAGGGCCGGCTCCTGGCCGAGAGCGAGGATCTGGTGACCGAGTTGCAGGGTCGGAGCCGGCGGCGTGAGGGCCTCAAGCGGCGCCAGGAGGAGGCGAGTGGCGGGCGGAGGGCGGAGGGCAGGGGGACGGCGGGCTGTAGGCGGCGGGCTGCGGCCGGTATGACCAGCCCCGGCTCCCCGGCAGGTGTGCGATGACCCGGAGGAGCTGCGGAGGAAGGTCCGGGAACTGGCCGGAGCTGTCCGGAATGCCAAGCACTTGGTGGTCTACACAGGCGCCGGTATCAGCACGGTAGGCGAGGGGCTGCGGGCTGGGTCAGGTGTGGGGCGCCCCCTTCTGGGACACAAACTTGGACGGACTGCACGGGGCTGGAGTTGAGTAACTACACAAGTTGGAACGGTCTCCTTTGAAGCCGCTCCGCGGTGTCCCCTTTTTCTCAGAGACCCGTAACCAACACTAGATTTAAAGATTTAATTAAGGTAAGCTGAGCGTGGTGGCGCACGCCTAGCAGTCCGGAGGCAGGCAGATCTTTGTAAGTTCAAGGCTAGCCAGGTCTACATAGAGACCTTGTTTTTAAAAATGTTAATAATAACAGTAATAGTGATTTATCTAAGCCAAAGACTTTCAGAACGCTTGACTCGTTACAGCCAGCTAAAGACAAACATGAACAGGAGGAGGGCCAAACTGCCTGTTGATCGACCTCTTCTCCACTAAAGGGGACAGGTTAATTTGACTCACATGATGTGGACCCACTGGAGCCCTAGACTTTTCTCTTGGGCTCCCACTCCTTGAAGAAAGATAAACAGAAAACCAGTGTCAAATCCCAGACCTCTAAATCTCAGGACTCAGGAGGAGGAGCCTGATAGAGGAGGAAATTCAAGATCAAAGGCTTGAAGCCAGCCTGGCTCAAAGCTTGAAGCAAAAACCCTGTCTCAAAACAAACAGAAAAGGAAAAGGAACAAGGCAGTAAGAGTCATAGTCCAATGGGTGCAGATGAGAAAGGGCTGTTGTCTTGACTCTGAGAACTTTCCTGGGCTAAGGGGTGGCTAGCTTTGTAGCTGACATATTTATATGATCAAGGGTGAGTGGTGTGGAGTATTTGGCATATGTAGGTTCAGCCAAGGTGAACTCTAGATGATTTCTGGTCTCAAGAACCCCTAAGGCATGGGCTGGAGAGATGGCTCAGAGGTTAAGAGCACTGACTGCTCTCCCAGAGGTCCCGAGTTCAATTCCCAGCAACCACATGGTGGCTCACAGCCACCTGTAATGAGATCTGGTGCCCTCTTCTGATGCGTAGATGTACATGGAGGCAGGATGTTGTATTCATAATAAATAAATAAATCTTTAACAACAAAAAGAACCCCTAAGGTGGTCTGGAGGGTTACCTCTGTTGGTCAGGTACTTGCCGTGCAAGCATGAAGGACCTGGGTTGGAGCTGTCGGTATCCGTATGAAAAAGTTCAGCAGTGACCCACCCACCCAGCACTGGTAAAATAAGCTGGGAAGACCCCGTGGAGCCAGCCTAGCCAAACCCGTGAGCTCCAGGTTCAGTGAGAGACCTTGTCCCCCAAAAAACAAAGTGGGGGTGGTTGTGAGATTGCTCAGCAAGTGAGTAGGCACTTGCAGCCAAGGGCCTGGTGGCTTGAGTTTGGTCCTCAGAACCCACAAGATGGAAGGAGAGAACTGACTGCTACAAGCCGACGTCTGGCTTTCACTTGAGCATCTTGGCACTTGCACGCCCCCTTCAACAAATGTGTTTAAAAAAAAAACAAACAAAAGATAAGGTGGAGGTTGATTGAGATTCATACACACAGGGGGCACGCCCACGTGCATACATGTGTGCACACACAAACATGCCGAAAAGAAGACCTTTGTTACACAGGTAACGGCTGTCCGTCACAAACAGGCAGGTACGGTGCCTAACCGACGACAGTGTCAGACATACAGTCCTCAAAGCTGGGAAAGCCCATGGGACAGCCTTGCCGTTGAAGTGGCACTGAGTAGGTGCTCTGCTGGGAAACATGGGGATGGGAAGCACGACAGACAGACAGACAGACAGCAATGTCCCAGTAGCAATATAAGGAACCTTTGCTGCCCTGACTTACAGATATCTGTGACGTAAGCATTTGGGACCTTCAGAGCCCGTGTGATAATCCACCTAGTTGATGACTTTACAGCAGTGTATCCCCTCTACAAATCTAGTGACAGCTGAGTACCATGTGCAGCTTGTAAAATGCGGTCTGATCGCCGTTTGAGGTTTTCATCCCTACTGTACTGGGGTTATACTGGTCAGGGTGGGTACTTCTCTGAGCTTCAGCATCAGTGAGGACACAGTGCTTCCCCAGCCAGGATCCAAAGACTTAGATCCTAGGTGCTTACTGTTTCTCATGGAAAATTAGCTAATGTTTATCTCATCTTAGAGTTTTTATATGTATGCTAAGTTGGAGTTAAAACTGTTCAGAGCGGGCGTTGGTAGCGCACGCCTTTAATCCCAGCACTCGGAAGGCAGAGGCAGGCGGATCTCTTAAGTTTGAGGCCAGCCTGGTCTACAGAACAAGTTCCAGGACAGCCTCCAAAACAATACAGAGAAACCCTGTCTCGGGGGGAAAAAAAAAACTGTTCAGAGCTCTAGGATCTAAGTACTTGGACAGAGGTGTGCTTCCTTCTGGGGCTTTACTATATGCTGAACGTGACTTGAACACTTATGACCCGTTCCTTTGGACGCTGATGCGCCCCTTCATTGTTTGGGACAGGCGTGGCCACAGCTGCTCACTGCTAGAAACGACCCCTGAAGTAGGGCAGGGTTCTGAGGAGTCTGGAAGGGTGAGCTGGCTCCGACAGGACAAGAAAGTCGTGTGTGTGGAGGGAAAGAGCCATGGGGAGGGACCAGGCGGGTCAGCAGTGGATGGGACGGACGCTAGTCCATCTTCGAGCCTAGAGTGCCGCATGCCCTAGATAGGGTGCTCTGCAGGACCTGTGGTGACTCTCTTTCACTGGACTTACCTCTTTGTCCTATTGCGCAGGCAGCTTCCATCCCAGATTATCGAGGCCCTAACGGAGTGTGGACACTACTTCAGAAAGGAAGAAGTGTGAGGTGAGCGTCTCACCGCGCCCTCACGTGGTCAGGCAGCAGCCACACCTGCCTGATGCGGCCTTTCCACCCGCTCTCTCTTCTGTCCTGCAGCGCTGCTGACCTCAGTGAAGCGGAGCCCACCCTCACCCACATGAGCATCACCCGTTTACACGAGCAAAAGCTGGTAAGAGCCCAGAGCCGCCCCTCCGTGCCCAGGCGGGAAGCTGCTTCACTCCCAGTCAGCCCCGTGATAAACAGTCTCGAGTGGCTCAGATTCCTGTTTGATCCCTGCTCCGCTTTCTTTCCGAGAAGAAAGAGTAGCCCCTGTCCCAAACCGTTAGTCTGCAGGTGGAAGGGGCTGTCTTTAGACAATATCCTAGCTACAGGGGAGGTCTGTCAGAAACCTCCGGAGGTCCGCTGATCTAAGGGAGGGGACCTACCTGGGCTCCTGGGGGACCTGAAAGAGAAGAACCCAGGAGGGTATTGATCCAGTGCCCCAAGCTGCTACCTAACTTAAAGGAGTAGCACAGTACAGATGCTTGCTCTCCTGGATGCTCCCAGTGTGTCAGAGCTAGTAGGGGAGGGCATGACTCCTTCCTACCACAGGGCTTTCCAGGGCTACAGTTGCCTAATTTCACCGATACAGGGTGCTTCCTCCATCCCCTCCGGATTGCCACCGTGTCTCTTTTTCCAGGTGCAGCATGTCGTGTCTCAGAACTGCGACGGGCTCCACCTGCGCAGCGGGCTCCCACGAACCGCCATCTCAGAGCTCCACGGGAATATGTATATTGAAGTGAGCAGCACCAGAGGGGCAGCAGGGCCTGAGTGACAGGCACGTCTCACTCACTGTGCTTCTCTCCTCCTTAGGTCTGCACCTCCTGCGTCCCCAACAGGGAGTATGTACGGGTATTTGACGTGACAGAGCGCACTGCCCTCCACCGACACCAGACTGGCCGGACCTGCCACAAGTGTGGGACCCAGCTCCGGGATACCATTGTGCACTTTGGGGAGAGGGGGACATTAGGGCAGCCTCTGAACTGGGAGGCAGCGACGGAAGCTGCTAGCAAAGCGGACACGATCCTGTGTTTGGGCTCCAGCTTGAAGGTGCGTGCTGACAATGCCATGAACGCATCGTGGGTTGAGCATGTTACAGGCCTGCCTGCCCAGAACTGTTTTGCTGTCTTCCTCCTCCTCCTCCTCTTCCTCCTCCTCCTCTTCCTCCTCCTCCTATGTTATGTCTGTCCCTCCCTACAGGTACTGAAGAAGTACCCCCGTCTCTGGTGCATGACGAAGCCTCCGAGCCGGCGGCCCAAACTCTACATCGTGAACTTGCAGGTAACTTGGACGGGCGCTTAGAAGCCTCTTCATTGTACCCCAGGGGTGTGCCACATCTGTGTACCCCGGAAGTCTCGTACAGGTCCACGTCCCTGCAGACGGCCGACCCGGCCTGCGGGGAGCAAGCAAAGGGCGGGAGGCTCCTCTCATCTGTCCTCCTTGTCTGCAGTGGACCCCGAAGGATGACTGGGCCGCGCTGAAGCTTCATGGGAAATGTGATGATGTAATG